AAGTAAGAAAGACAGGAGACTTGCCAGTGGATTACAAGGGGGAAGGACACAAAGCACTATGGACACAAAGCAGTTAATCTCAAGCTTTTAAAAAGCAATTCTTAAAAACAGCAGACGGGGGGGAAATCCAAAAAACAAACTATAAGTGTAAACTATACAGACACAAAAAGTACTTGACAGTGCCCCTTTCACAGACAGCCTTGAATCTTGCAACCAGAGTGTGAGAGCTGAGAAATATTCCCATCATAACAGTAGAACATTTCATCTTTATGGCTCTTAGAAAGCAATTTTCTTCCATTCTAACTCAGTTTGAGCTTTGAAAGTTCTTGTGCGTCTGCATAGAAGCTAGTTGATGCTTTGGAAAAAACAGATATAGTTTAAAACCTAATTAATGTATTTGTACAGCAAGTTTGCCACTAATCTGTAGAAGTAGCAAAATTCTCCCGGCCGACTCTGTGATCTGGCCTGTCTACTATTTTGCTATGCTAAATGCTATTACAAACATCTGTCCATCCAAAATGGCCCCTCTGTCGTATGTTCTCTTACATAAGCAAAGAGAGATTTAGACAGGAACCAGACTTCTGCTATTTCCTGTTCGCTCACATGTGCCAAGGAAACCATTGAGGGGCAGAGCAATAGCACAGCAGACTGGTGGAAGTTTGAAACCCATGGTACAGTTACGGAAGACAGGCACACACACACTTCCTTGGAGTTTTTTAAGGTCAGGCTTAACAAAGCCCTGGCTGAGATGATTTAGTTGGGGATTGGTCCTGCTTTGAGCAGGGGGTTGGACTAGATGACCTCCTGAGGTCCCTTCCAACCCTGTAATTCTATGATTCTATGATAAAGAGGGCATGGTTTAGACCAGGGGTCGGCAACCTTTCAGAAGTGGTGTGCCGAGTCTTCATTTATTCACTCTAATTTAAGGTTTTGCGTGCCAGTAATACATTTTAATGTTTTTAGAAGGTCTCTATAAGTCTATAATATATAACTAAACTATTGTTGTATGTAAAGTAAATAAGGTTTTTAAAATGTTTAAGAAGCTTCATTTAAAATTAAATTAAAATGCAGAGACCCTCGGACCAGTGGTCAGGACCCGGGCAGTGTGAGTGCCACTGAAAATCAGCTCACGTGCCGCCTTCTGCACGCGTGCCATAGGTTGCCTACCCCTGGTTTAGACTCTTTGGGACATTTCCCAAGCCAATTCACCCATCCCTACTTTCTTTTTAATCATCACTTTAACGGTACATACAATACCTGAAGTCCAAATTAATTTCAATCTTCATTCAATGGCCCTTTTTAAAATGTGAAAAGACACATTTTTTAAAAGTGTTGGCCAGTTCTTATGCAATGAGGTAAAACCCCAAATGTTATTTTGTTCTACACACTCTACACCAAGGTGATGTCCAATACTATTTCTCGCATTCTGAGGTGTTATTTTCTAGCCCTTTCTGTCTGATCATAAATTAGACTTAGCTTGTAAAAACATGCAATTTTTATCTTACATAACTCCTCAATGTCAACTGCCAGAAAGGTATCTCAAAGGATCATAAGCGTTGTTGACATTACACTAGAAAGTCAAAGTCAGTGATCCTGAAAAGGAAACGCTCTTTCAGTGTTTAACAAAGGAATAATCACATGCAATATACTCAATCCAGGACATTGCATAATCAAATTTTTAAAAATCATTAAGCACATCACTTACCTATTTAAAGATACACTATTAAGATTTACACTGTGATAACTGAAATATTTATGTATTTTCTTTAGGTACTAATAATGCCATGGAGTCTTTAATTTAAAATCTGTTTGTAAACTTAACTTGTCTATCCTCATGTATGCTGTTTATTGCTTTTTAATTTATGAAAATGTGTTTATTTCTTAATTCACATGCACAAGCGTAATGACATCGTCATCTCTGATGATTGGACATCTGATCTGGACACCTCTGCACGTTCCATAACGTAAAGGAATAGTGCTTCTGATAGCTGAACTTCTGCTATAATACCCACTCCACAAAATTCGCTGAAGTCAAGGCATGTGCTGAATTTTGTACAGTGGTTACTTTTTGGGTGGTATAACTTCACCAGAGATCTGAATGCTAATAAACGTATCATTTGTTTGAAAAAGCAATATCTTAGATTTTCACATAATTGTTCATTTACAAATTTCTGATATCAGATAAATGCATTGCATTAGAGTCTCCCATCAAATTGGAGACTGTTATAAATACAGAAATACTGTGCTATTGTTGCCATAGGGATGGTGTGAGATCACAGCAAGAATTGTGATTGGGATATTGGGAGAAGGGGGAATCCATGTGACCATCTTGTTTTGAAAGGATGAAACTCACCCCTGTGGTGACAACGAGCCCAAGCTCAGACTTGGCACTGCAAAGCTGCCCTATTAGGACAGGTGGAGATCCCCCTTGTCATAAGAAAATCACCAGTTGCCTAAAGCTGGCATACCTTCCAGTAAAGGGAGCATCTGGGGGTGTGGTCAAGAGTGGGAGGGGCATGGCTAGAGGACAGTGTGCTCTGCTTAACCTGTGCCAGCAGGAGGTGCCCGTGGGGCTTAATTTACACGGGGGGGAAAACTGGCCACAGCACTGGGGAAATGGAAAGGATATTTATAGCCACCTGTACCTCAACCCCTGGATCTTGCACCAAGCACAGCTTAGACAAACCTAAGGATCTGGCCCATAGAAAATTAGTGGGGCATAGGTCTTGTGCTGGTCCTCTGCACAGGAGTGAATTTTACCCAACAAGCAGTCTACAGTGTGAAAGTTTGAGACCCTCTGTATTACAATGACTCCTGCTCCCAACAAAACTTCACCCCAAGCATTTATATTCTGAAAAATATAAATGTGTGGTGGTGGGGGGAGGGGAGGAAGTCCTTACAAACATCTTCTATTTTAGTACTTTGATTATTTAGGCCAGATTGTGAACTCCTTATGCTCAGTGTGAGTTACTCTCATGAGTCAGCCCATTGACTTCAGTGGGGCTGGTCAGCTGAATAAGTTCTCCCCAATTTGAGTAAGGCTTGCACAATGCCACTCTAAATATTTACAATAGCATAGGACAACATAGTCAGGAATAAACATAAACACAGCATAAATAGCGTTGCCAAATCCAAGGCCCATGGAATTCTGTGGCAAAATTCCCATTGTGTGACCTGGATTTGACCCAAGATGAACAGCTCAGTAATTCTGAGAAAACAGTCACGTTCCTTCCCAGAGTCAGCACTGTGCTGTTCTATCAAGTACAAATATTTACTTTAAAAAAATAAGTGAACATGCCAGTGAATCTGCAGTTCTGCAGAAAAGGACCTGGGGATTACAGTGGATGAGAAGCTGGATATGAGTCAGCAGTGTGCCCTTGTTGCCAAGAAGGCCAATGGCATATTGGGCTGTATTAGTAGGAGCATTGCCAACAGATCGAGGGAAGTGATTATTCCCCTCTATTCGGCGCTGGTGAGGCCACACCTGGAGTATTGAGTCCAGTTTTGGTCCCCCCACTACAGAAGGGATGTGGGCAAATTGGAGAGAGTCCAGCGGAGGGCAACAAAAATTATTAGGGGGCTGGGGCAGATGACTTATGAGGAGAGGCTGAGGGAACTGGAGTTATTTAGTCTCAGAAGAGAAGAGTGAGGGGGGATCTGATAGCAGCCTTCAACTACCTGAAGGGGGGTTCCAAAGAGGATGGAGCTAGGCTGTTCTCAGTGGTGGCAGATGACAGAACAAGAAGCAATGGTCTCAAGTTGCAGTAGGGGAGGTCTAGGTTGGCTATTAGGAAACACTATTTCACTAGGAGGGTGATGAAGCACTGGAATGGATTACCTAGGGAGGTGGTGGAATCTCCATCCTTAGAGGTTTTTAAGGCCTGGCTTGACAAAGCCCTGGCTGGGATGATTTAATTGGTGTTGGTCCTGCTTTGAGCAGGGGATTGGACTAGATGACCTCATGAGATCTCTTCCAATCCTAATATTCTATGATTCTATGAACAGGCTCATAATACAGATTCAGCTTGGGTAAGTAGTTACCTCCATTGATCACAGACCATAGCATAAAACAACCAAGTGAAGGGAGCAAAATAAGCAAAGTACCAAATTTTCAAAAAGTGGCCTGTAAATTAACACCTTCTACATTTCTACACATAGGTATCTGTGAATGTAAATCCCACTGCTCATGCAGAAAATGACCATGCTTTCAATCCAATCTC